AAACCAAGAAAACATTTACCTGACCGGTACTCTTTCCCACATGTACCGTTCTTGCTTCATCACTTCCATGATTCTAGTTTGCAGAGCATGAATTCCTTCACCATCAGGTTCATCGCCTTGGAGTCACAATTGCAAAAAAAAAAAAAATGTAAAATAACATTTTTGATCAGTTAGCATAAATCAGTTCTAAAACTTTATAAACATAACACTTTAAGCAAAAGGCGATTGCCAAAGTGTTCGGAAGAAGAAATCGGTGAGGAGCCTCAAAATAAATGTGGAAAGACAAACTTGGTCTTTAGCGACGAGTCACATTAACAGCATCATGTTTGTGCAGTTATAAGTGTATTGCATTCACCTAAGCATGTAAAAAATGACTGATAAAATATTGCAATTAATTGATAGTCCGCAAGCTTTTGTTCTATATGATTTTGTCATATATTCAATTAACTGTGCGACCATGACTCGGTGAGCTAAATCTAATCTTATAGTATAATGGTATAAAGGAAATATTTCTTTCTAGTTATTTGTGAGATACATCAATCGGTTTTCTTTCAAAAAATACAACAAGCACTGTCCATGAGCAAAGGAAAAAGAAAGAAGATCTGAGTCCCACGCGAACACAGACCATCTGAGTTCGCACTCAGGTACTAGGAACTCAGCTACAGAGTATTTGTCGGGAACAAGGCTCACCAACAAGGCTCATCAACAGCATTTTCCTTCGCCCTTAGACCATTTTAAAGAAAACAATTAGCGCTTTATTAACTGCGTTTGAAGTTGTACCTGCTTGATGCTTTCCTTGCGGGTTGGTAAACATGTTCTTGATCCTTTATAAGACCGGTTTGCTGCTCTGTAAGTTTGATTTGCTGCTATGTGTGTTATCAACGTTGAAGAAAGGCCTGATTACATACTTCTCGTATTCCTTTCCTGCTATTCCCCGGTGTAATTTTGAAGTAACAGTCTTGGTGTCCTCAAATGGTTTGTCAGCATGTGTGCCGGTCAACTATGAAGACTGGAGGTCGCAGATGGGAAAGATCTAGTGGCATTTCTTCTGCTGGAGATTTCACACTATGTACTGTAACAAGCCAGGACAGAAAATTTTTCAAGTTTGTTTCCCTGTTTTGGTTCTCCAGGATAACATTGCAAGTTCCTTGCCTGGCACACGGCTAAGCTATGGCGTTTAATGACTTGCTCAGGTTGTGAACGAGGATGTAAATTGCACGTGGTGAGAAAAACACAGGATGTGAGGCATAGAATACGTGTCGTCCTGCAGAATCCCATATTTGTACAGTCACCTTGGATTCCGGTTGTATCAATCTTCAAATCGGTATTCAGACTCCGTGAATCAGCTCTTTCACTATCGTCTGCCTTGACCAAGCTCCTTGTTGGCGGAGAAACGTCTGTCTTTGCTGAAATGTGCACCTCTCCTTCACGCTAGAATAAAGTTTTGAAGAAGACAACCAAGTAAAGAATTATGTAACAGAAGGCGTTTGTTTCAGAGACAGTGGAAAAATATGGGGGGCTGAAAAGCGTGTGCCCTTAGTTGCAGCTATAAGAAAGGTCTGAGAATATGTTTTACCTGAAAAAATAAATTTTCATTTGGCGTAAATATCTTATTTCGCATTGCACTTCTGCACACAAGCGAAATGATATTTGAAAATAAGCTCAACCGAAAAAATTAGGGGAATCAAAGTTCCTTTCCTTGGCCAGGATTTTTAGTGTTCCACCATGCATGGGAACAAAATTCCAATAAGAATTCCTCGCCACCAGCTTAGCTTTCCTGCTCTAGAATGTTTTATATCCTGAGCGGAGCACTTCTTTTAATACCAACCTGTTTCTTGAAAGAACTTTTGTCACATTTTGCTTCACCATCTATAATTGCATGATTCTACTCCAGATCCTCTTTTAGATCTTACTTCTTCTAATGCTGCTCTTGCGTCCTCGTCTTCTTTTCAAATACTTGAGTGATACAACGTTCGGCGATTATCCTTGATACGGAAGAAACCTCTTGCGCGGTGGCTTGACTCGCGTTTTCTTGGGTGGAATACCAGTTCTTTACTCGGTCGACCTCAATCTAAAAATGTGACGGATCAACCTAAATTCCATCGGTACTCTGTTCTTTAGGATCAAATGGCAGACCCAAGAGAGACTTCTTCAAAACTGTCTTCCCCGCACGATCCTGACCACTTAATAGAGTATGAGCCCAATAGGAGACCAGTGTAGTCTTAACAATAAGCGGATACAGAATATGCTCATAGTTATTTTTAAATGTCTTAATTTTGAACATTACCCACAGTACCTGAAAGAATTGTTTACTCTGAGATCTTTTGACTATTCTATGAGAGGAACCAATATTCTTACTCCTTTTAGCCCTGTTACTACTACATAAGGCTTAAACTCTTTCAGTTATACAGCTGCTAAGTAATGGAATCCGCTACCGGATAACTTAAGAGCTATTTCGTCCTTAAATAATTTTATTTCAGCAATTCGTCAACATAATTTTATTAGATGATGAGGTAATAATAATGATAATAATATTCTCATATTATTTCTAGTTAATGTAAACAGTACATTATTCTAAGATTAAAAGTTTTTTTTTTTCTTCTCGGAGATACCAGCTTACCTATGGCTAGTCTTAATTCGAGATAAAATAAAGTTTTATGTATGTATGTATGTATGTATGTATGTATGTATGTATGTATGTATGTATGTATGTATGTATGTATGTATGTATGAGAGCCTGTTCATAAAGAAGCTTTGCATCTTCTCCTTGTACTAATACTTCCGTATAATAAACGTCCCTCCATTTACTAGTGAACTGGAAAGTATTCGTAGCATGTTCGCTTCAAAGAAGGCTTCTGGCTATGACAGTGTCCCAATGCATGTTATTAAATATTCATTTCCCTTTATTTCTGCTCCTTTGGGAGATATTATCAATCTATCTTTGCTAAAAGGCATTTTCCCGGACAAACTTAAAATCGCTAAAATCATTCCCATCTTCAACGCAGAGGATCCTAGCTTTTTTTTTAACTACAGACCTAAATCTTTGTTGTCTAATTTTTCCAAATTTTTACGAAAAAGTCATATACAATCGCGTGGTAGAATTTGCCGAAAAACACGGTATACTTTACCGATGTCAGTTCTGATTTCGGAAAAATCACTCAACATCTCACGCGCCAATTCATTTGGTAAATAAAATTGCATCTGCAATCAACCAACACGAAACAACGGTGGGTGTTTTCCTAGATCTTTCCAAAGCATTCGACACTCTCGACCACCAAATCTTGTTTGCCAAATTGGAGCACAATGGTATCCGTGACGTGGCTCTGCAGTGGTTTAAAAGCTACTTTTCTTTCCGCCAGCAATTTGTTCAATTCAATCAAGCTTGCTCTCCAATGCAAACCATGTGGTTTCCCTCAGGTTTCGACTTTAGGCCCACTATTGTTTTTTCTATACATTAATGACCTCCCTAATGCCTCTGAATTAACAGACCCTCTACTTTTCGCTGATGACACCAGTATCTTTTATTCTCACTCAAACCTAAATTGTTTAGAATCCGTACTTTTAGGGAGGTCACTAATGTATAGAAAAAACAATAGTGGGCCTAAAATGATGAACTCCAAAATATTGATGTTTGGCTAAAATGTAATAGGCTTTCAGTTAATATAAGGAAAACTACGTCATTTTTAAACCCAGACAGAAGAAATTTAACTCCAGCATTTCTCTCTCCTTTAGAGGTAAACCCCTACAACAATCTAATGTAACTAAATTCCTTGGGGCCTATATTGACGATCATCTCACCTGGAAACACCCTATCATGTATGTATAAAAACAAATCGCAAAAACAATTATATTTAGGTCTCGCTTTTCCCTATCCTCTACAACCAACCTCACTTTGTACTACACCTTAGTTTATCCTTATATCGTCTATTGTAACTCCACCTGGTCGTCCACCGCATACGTATCTAACTTAAATAGAATTTATTATTTGCAAAAGCGAGCTCTGCGGGCTATCACCAACTCAGACTATCGAGCCCATTCTGCTCCTTTATTCTCCAAGCTAGGAATTTTAGATATTTTCCAAGTCAAAACGTTTGAAATCGCCAAACGTATGTTTTATTTCAAAAATAACTTATTACCCTCATTGCTCCTCAATCTTTTTGTAAGGAATAGCCAAATTCACAACGATGGTACCAGAACAGCCAGTTATTATCGAACGCATTTGTGCCGTACAAATCTCAAGCAATTTACTAATTTACAATTCTCTACCAAGATCCTAACATTTGGAACTCTCTCCCTATTTCAGTCACTCGTTCGTCAAACTGTCTAAGTTTTATGACGAAATTACAAGAGTTCTTACCTAACTAATCACCGAATTGGCCAAGCCGCACATTCGCAGTACTTTTTCTTTACTTGATTTATTATTGCGGGGTGGCTCTCCCATAAGCCCTGGGCTTCTTGGGTCTCCTCGCCTCCCAACAGTTATCGCTGTAATTAAATATTTTTATTGTTAAAATAAGGCAAATAAAAGATGATGATGATGATGATGATGAAAAGTTTGAAAAGTGATGTAAAATGTGTGCAAAGTCTCTCGGCGGAATTGCGTTGCGATGTCTGCTAGAGTGACATCACATAACTTATTCCGGGCTTTCATTCTCTACTTTATTTCCCAGACCCCACCATTTTTCGCGCGGTGACTGTCACGGTGACTGGTCGTGTTCAGATTACAGTTTCGAATCTTTCCCAATAACGTTGGTTGCCTCCTAAGAACGAATTCGTCACGTGGGAATGACAGGAGTCGCGCAGGCCCGTCAAACTTTTTAACTTTCGGAGGAACGGCAATAGACAGTGGATCCCCATTACAATCCAAGTATATTCACGCTGTCTCGCTGACATCAAAGAAGTTTTCTCGAACGCGTCAAGATGCAACTGACTCACTCTTTGTTTACGACGATGATGCAACGCAATCAGTGTGCGCATACCGCCTCGGTCGCGCAGGGTCTCTTCATTCCCAGTCTCTTCATTCCCAGTCTCTTCACCATCACTACAGAATTTCTCTTCTTCAGTAAAGATATGTTTCAGTGTAGTAAATTCTACCACGGACACAGAGGCAAGATAGGGGTTTTTAAGACTTAAGAATCAGTCAGAAGTTGACAGCTCTTCTCATTGGTGGAAATTGTGCAGTCAAATACGGTATGCTAAAACAAGGAATTTCCAACTGATGCTATGGCGTAATCCGGTCCGAGCTTGTCCGAGCGGTATACTCAAACCGGAAGTGTCTTTTGTGTCAGTGCAAGATGAAATTCGTCGACAGGCGAGATCCAAGTAAGATTTTCAGAAAGATTTCCATATGACCCCATACTTAATTATACACACAGTTATTTTATAAAGAAAACAATGGAAAAAACAGTAGTTTAACTTTGGGACGAATGATTTGTTTATGTGGGTTATATCAGCGGAAATCCATCCCGAATATTAAAATTTTTTTGTACGTCTAAAAGCTCTGATACCTCATTGCTATCTTTGTGTTGTCTTGCATTATTACACTTATGCAATGTTGGGATCGCCAATGATTCAAAATTATATCTGGATATTACTGCTGAGTATCTGGAGCGTGAATCAGTTAATCTGGCTATCGATCATTTATATTGGCAACTTTCTCCAACACCTCTTTACTCTTCAGTTACTCATACATCAGTATCAAGGCATGTTCTCAGAAATTTAACACTTCTAGGAGTTGCATCGCCAAGTAATATTTTGGTATGATCTTATCAATATCCTAAGGTGTGGATACGTAAGGCCCTTAGATCTTCAAGGATGGCCGTGATGGGAGGTCATGTCAAAATTAACATGTTACTTTTTGGTGAGTGCTTTCTACATTCACTCTGTTGTTAGTGATGAAGTACCAAACTTTCTCCCACTGTATTTCATAAAACATGGGATCCACACACGTGCAATGCAAGCTTATCACTGACATCTTCACATGTGAATATAATGTTATTGCCATCAAAATGGCAGTCCTACTTACCATGAAGAAATATAAGCATTGCCATGGTTAAATTTAATTTTTAGAGGAGTACATTTGGGGGATAATTAGATTTTGTTTTGGAGACAAGTTTTTGTGCATGTGACCTCTACATTTGACACCCTTAAAATGTGATTTTGGATCTATGATTGTGATATCAAATTAATATCCATAAAATGAACAGAACATTATATGTTCCCACACACATACAAAATTACCTTCTCAAGTTGATATTTTCTCTCAAGAGTGCACAAACCAAATGGGTTATTTGGAGAAATTGTCAACACTCAAAGATTGATTTTCATCCATGCATAGCCAAGTAGTAAGTAACTTATTAAGGTTAGAGAAATTACAATTGATGTCACCAAAGATCCAACTTGGGCTTTAAAGACAAATTCCAAGGAAGGATTTGTAATTATCTATTTTGTTAGAACTTATCCTTGTGTGTCAAGGGACTTATCTGTAAAATTGGAAAATTGGAACCCTAAAAGTTTTCATACCATTGGTTTTAAATAATGTTTAGCCATTTTTTTTTTTATCATGATTATAAGTAGTATTTTAAAAACAGTTTTTTTTACCATGACAATTCTTCTGGATGAAATGAAACCAGGGAAATCTCTTTACTTCAATCTATGAGAATTCAGTCAAAATTCCTGCCCATTAAGCTGAGCCGGGTTCCAAGAACATAGCCTGATCTAATGCTCTAATTGCTGGACCAATGAGTGTTATAATCTAAGGCATCTATCAATTCAAAGCATCAACCTTCCCCCCTCAGGCAACCCCCACACATTTGAACTTCTGAAGATTGGTTTGTTCACATTACCCC